AAAAAAATAATAATAAGAACGACCGTCTGGGGCAGAAAGCAAGAAGGTAGATAATGCACTAATAACGCAGGAGCGGCTTTCCAGGAAGACAACAAGCAAATGAGAGGCTCGTCTTTCCATAAATGGGAGCAGGATTTTCATAAACATACGACAAGGAAGTCGGTGCATGCATGTCAATGGGCTGGGGTACTTCCCCCCCCCCTACTTCCCTCCCAAGCCTGCAGTTGTTGCTGAATAGGAATCACCGCCACGATTCCCCCCATCCCTAGTAAATAAACACAAGCAGCCGACATGCCAGCTAGCCTGCTGCCTCCCTCAGATATTAACCAGCTTGTCCTCTGCGCAGAGCAGAGATGACCAGTGGCCCAGCCGAACCAGGCGCATAAGCGAACAAGCTGCTGCTTTGGTGCCTTCTCCTTTTCCAGCGTTGCTGCAATAAAACACCTAGCCGGCGATCTGCTCACCTCACCCGCGGAGAGCACGCACCACCCCACGCGTAAATAAAAACACAGCCCTCTCCCCCCCACCTCTACACACACACACACACACACACGCAACACCCACTCAGCAAACACCCCCACGCACAAACCCTCCCCGGGTAGGAAAGCTCTTACATTCGACTTGCTAGGAGGTTGCCTGTTCCTTCGGTTCGGCCTGGGCCTGTCTCGGGTGAAATGCTCCAATTTCTCCCCCGCAGTCGGCAGGTCCATAAGGGATGCTGCGGATGCAGGCTCTGCGAGAGGAGGCGGCGGCGGCGGCAGCGGCAGCAGCCCGCTCCCAGGCTCAGCATCCTTTGTGGAAGCAGGGCGTGACTTCGCGGAGGCACGGCTGAGTGACAGCTCAGGCTGGGGACTCCCAATCGGGTTGTCTTGGGCGCCTACCTTCAGTTCTGGCAGACCTGGAAGAGGGGAAGAGGAAGGGGAGGCAGGGAGGGAGGGAAGGAAGGAGAGAGGGAGGGGGAGGGAAAAGGAGGTGAAAGCAGGGGGGGGGGAGGTGTTGGTGGAGAGTTGCCAGGCAGACAGCAGAATGCCCCTCTCTGCCGCACAGCAACATCTCTCTTGTCACCTGAAGGCTCGTTACAGATCAGGCAACTAAACGGACAAGGCATGTTTTAGCCACCAGGCNGGGGGGCGGAGGGAATGGACAGGAGACGCTTGACTTGCCCCAGTAAGGAGGAAGAAGCAAGTCCAGAGAGAGAAACTCAAATCTCTGTGGTCCAAGCCAGAAGGACTCAGCTCTTTGAACATGTCTACATGCACAAGAGAGACAAATGGATGGCTTACTTATTTATTTCATTTAGTTAGTTAGTTTTGTCAAACATGTATGAGATGACAGGTGTAACTATAAACATGGACATGAACAAGGGAGAGTACAAATAAATGGGGGTGTTAGGACAGGGAAGGTAGGCACGCTGGTGGACCTCTTAGGAATGGGGTGACGTCCACGGTAGACAGTTTGAGGTTGAAGCTGTGGGGGTTTGAGGATGTAACAACAAAGTCGGGTAGAGCACTCCAGGCGTTGACCCCTCGGTTGCTGAAGTCCTATTTTCTGCAATTCAGCTTGTTTCCTCTTTTCTGATCCCTCAGGGATTCTGTCAGAGGTTGCCAAGATCCCTCTTTGGAAATAAACTAAAGAAAGGTGTTGGAATGCTCCCTTGACCCATGAGGAAGGGATCAGCCTGGGTTCTCCAGTGAATGTAGAGTGGAGAAGTAGACTTCCATGCAAGCCAAGGGATATTGAAACCTATCTTCAGATTGAGTCCAGAAATTAAACCACTTTGGGAATGAAAGAAAATATAAATGTCCAAGGATAGTGTTGCAGGATGCAATCTGGGTCAGTCAACAGGGCCAAAGGTTTACATTTCCAAGCTTCTGGGGTTGTGTCCATCATCAGACAACTTCTCTCCAGAACATGCAACTAAACCACTTCGAATATGGATCCTAAATCACTTTGCCCCAAAGCCAAGGGGAAAAAAATGATTGTGCTTAAGTCCCACTGAGGTCAAAAGAATCAATCTGGGATGGTTCATTTAAATTAGATTAGATTAGATTAACAGAGTTGGAAGGGATCTTGTAGGTCATCTAGTCCAATCTCCCACCCAAGCAGGAGATCCTACACCATTTCTGACAAATGGCAGTCCAGTCTCTTCTNAACAATACATTCCACAATCCTACTCCTGTCTATTTCCCCCTCCCATCGACTATACTGATGAAACAGCATAATGAAATAAGAGAAAGTGTTGTAGGCCAAAATTCTAAAAGGAACATAATTGCAGTCCTGACATTCAGTTTGCCCCAACTGAGCCTTAGAGATACACCAAGGAGTTGGGTTGCTTCCCGGCATTACTGCCAGTTCGGTGCGAGCACAATTCTTCCGCGCATTCGCAGTTGCCCATAAATAGGTCTGTGCATGCGCAGAACATTGAAAAATGGGGAAGGGGAACCCTGCCGCACAAACCGGGAAACCCTAACCACTACCAATTTGGCCGAACCGATCCGAACCGATGGGAATCCACCTCTGGATCACGCCGAGGTAAAATGCTCCCTTTGCAACAGTGGCAAATACTTATAGCTGAGTAGAAGTGCGGATGGTCAGCATTGCTGTCCATAAGAGGTGGGAATTCTCAAAATGGAGAGAGTCGGGCATTTACAAATTTGTCTTTGTTTTATTTGAGCCTGTTGTACCTTTGGATGGGGAGGCCATCTTGCCTTATTTCGGTTTGTAGCATTGTTTATGATATAAATAAATCTTCTCTCTCCCCCTACTCTCCCTCTTTCCCCCCTCTCTCCTCTTTCTCTCCTTCTCACTCCTTTTCTTCCTCTCCACCCTTTTCCCTCTCTCCCTCCGCCCTTCTCTCACGCTGTCTCTTTTCACTTTTTTTCTCTTTCTCTCCTACTCTCTCCTTCCCTCCTTCTCTCTCTTCTGTCCCTTTCTTTTTTTTACTCTCTTTCTCTCCCCTTCTCTCTCTCCCTCTCTCTCCTCTTGCTGTCAATGTCTGTCCTCTTTTCTTTTCTGCTCCCCCCTTCTCTCTCCCCCTCCCTTTTCTCTCTCCTTCCCTCTCTCTCTTTTCCTCTCTCTCTCTCGTTCTCCTCCCTTCTGTCCCCTTCCTCCTTCTCTCTCTTCTCTTTTTCTCTCTCTTTTTCTCTCCTTTCTCTCTCCTTTCTCTTTCTCTCTCTCTCCCTTCTCTCACCCCTCTTCTCTCTCTCTTTCTCTCCCCCTTCTCTCTCCCCTTCTCTCTCCCCCTTCTCTCCTTTCTCTCTTATCCTTCTTTCTCTTCCTCTCATTTCTCTTTCTCTCCCCCCCACTTCTCTTTCCTCTCTATTTCTCTTACCCTTCTTTCTCTCCTTCCCTCTCTCTCCTTTCTCTTTCTCCCTCCCCTCTCCTCTTTCTCTCTCTTTCTCCCAAAAACATAGCTGCTGGCCAGCCAACCACTTTGTGACCTGGATCTCAGTTCCGCGTAAGATGATCTCCTCGGAGGACCACCCTCCTTTGTGTCCTGAGGCCATTTGGCGCAACGGGGCACGTAAGAGCTCAAATCCAAGGACTCCGTAGCTCTCGGTCTCCCTCTTTCAGCTCATGGGTCGAAAGAGCCTTGAACGCCTCTCTCCTCACGCGATACATCCTTTGAGTTCCCGCGTTCACTTACCTTACATGTATGAAGTCTGCGGCTGCACGGTTAAGCACTTTCCCCTCCCAGCGAAGGCCCCTTCCAAAATACTGGCGATACACTCGATTTTCAGATCCGATATTTTGAAAGGGACAATAAGAGGCAATAAGTCCCTGCTGTTTTCATTTCCGAGAAGCGGAGTGTTTGAAGCTAGCGCGAACTTTGCAAGATGTTATCTAATACGCCAATATATTACTTACATTAATTGAGTTCTCGGGGGCGGAGGGAGAGGTTGAGCAGCATTGTAGAGATCAACTTTTCGGTTTATTACTAAAGAGGTAACTTTTTTTATACAGACTAGTTTGATAAAACACATTGTAATTCTGAAAAACCTTTGACTAAATATCGCCTTCCGTGGAGGGTAGGGATTCTCTCAATAAATTATTGCCCCTCCAGTCACGCCGTCTCTGAAAACCTAGAACCTTCTTGTAGTAACAGATCATCTACGTATAATGTTGGCATTTTCACCAAACCAATCCTATAAACATTCGGCAGTTCTCCAACTATCTGACGGATCATGGACCCCCGTTTTTTTTTGTTTTTATAGCCGGCTTTTGCTAACCGTTTCGGTTTTAAACTAAGATAAAGACTCTGTGTTTCATTTTTACTGGGAAAATAAACAATATTACCACGGCCCTTTCACGGTTACTCTATAACAGTGACGGCAAACCTTTTTGGCACTGAGGGCCCAAACCGGGATCCGTCGTGTGCATGTGTGTGGCCACAGCACCGGAAACCGTCCGCGCACTGCCCAGCTAGTCTTTGGGTTTCAACCAGCACGGGCATGCCCACTGCCCACTGTACTGGAGCGCCAGGAAGCAAAGACTGACTGGTTCACGCATGCCTGTTTTTTGGGCGTTTTTAGGCCCTTTTCAGGCTGGTTTTCGGGCCATTTTCAGGCTGTTTACTGGCCCAAAACCGGCCTTGAAAACAGCCCAGAAAAGGCCTGGATATCAAACCAAAAAATGGCCTGTTTACTGGCCATTTTTGGGCCATTTTCAAGCAATCTTTTGGGCCATTTTTCCGCTGTTTTTCAGGCCATTTTTGGTCCATTTTCTTGATGGTTTTCAGGTCGTTTCCAGGCCATTTTTAGACTAAAAATGGCCTAAAAACAGTCTGAAAATAGTCCAAAAACAGCCTGAAAAATGGCCTCTTTGTGGCCATTTTTCAGGCCATTTTCTGGCTGGTTTTCAGGCCATTTTCTGGCCATTTTTTTGTCCACAAAATGGCCTGAAATGGCCCAGAAAAGGCCCAAATAACAGCCTGAAAAGTGGCCTGTTTTCTAGCCATTTTTGGGCTATCTTCTGGCTGTGTTTTGGGCCATTTTGGGGGGCACTTTCAGACCATTTACTGGCCCCAAAACTGCCTGAAAAACAGCCCAGAAAAGGCCTGGATATCAACCCCAAAATGGTCTGTTTACTGGCCATTTTTGGACCATTTTCAAGCCATTTTCCGGGACATTTTTCTGCTGTTTTTCAGGCCATTTTTGGTCTATTTTCTTGCTGTTTTTCAGCCCAAAACCAGCCTGAAAATGGTCTAAAAACAGCCTGAAAACGGCCCCAAAAAGGTCCAGATAACAGCCCGAAAAACAGCCTGTTTTTAGCCATTTTTCAGGCCATTTCCCGGCACTCCAGCGCACACGAAGACCAGCTGACCCTGCGTGCCGGAAACCAGAAGAGCAGCTGGCGAAGAAGGCACACGAGCCCTCTCTGTGCCACCTCTGGCACCCGGGCTCATAGGTTCCCCATCACGGTTCTACAATGAGGTGGAAATCTCAGTAACCGTGAAATGGGAATTCTGGAGCAACCAGTTTAACCTGATAGGGAATAATTGGTGATGATCCAAAATTTCCAATTCCCCCTTTTGCTCTCCGCAGGAGTAGTGAGAGTGTAAAATGGGCTCCCCTTGTAATAAATCCCCAATCCACCTTGAATAGGAGAATTATAATTATGATAAAATCCAAAGCAGAGGCCGGTACAGGTGGTTCTCGACTTACGACCGTTCCTTTAGCGAACGTTCAGTTACGACGCCACTGAAAAAAAAGTGACTTAGGACCGGTTCTCGCACTTACACCCGTTCTAGTGTCCCCCGTGGTGACATGATCAAAATTCAAACACTTGGCCACTGACTCCTCCTTACGACGGTCGTCGTATCCCGGGGTCCCGCGGTCCCCTTTTGCGACCTTCAGATTCACTTAACAAACCTGTTCCTAACTTAACAGTGGCAACAATTCGCGTAACAGCTGCAGCAGGAATGGTCGTAAAATGGGGCCAAACTCACTTAACAACAGAGACGTTGGAGTCCATTGGGGTCATAAGTCAAGGACCCCCTGCGGGGAGCCATTTGCAGTGACCGCCTGGGGACGTTCCTCTGTTAACGTCGGCTTTTCTCCATAATGACCGATTTAATCACCAGCATAGATTAAAATACTCTGGTTTTCCTCGTCTTTTTAATTTTTCATTATTCTATGAAAACGGCTCGCCACGACTTCTGATGTGACTGTGACCCGCAGGTTATTTCATTTTTTGTTTTTTTTGGGGGGGGGGAGATTTAAGAGCAGTGTCAAGAGAAAAAAAAACAATTCACCATATAGCGAGTTGAAATATTAAACACATGTTTTAAAGCGTGATTTACATGGCAATATTATAAATGTAACGGAGTTTTTGTTTTTTTTAAGCGTTCCCAAAAAAAAAACCCCTGTATGTAGCTTTCCATTTCTCTAGATGGCAGACATAACGGTGTCATAATTATTTTTATATCTCCTTCATTCTCGGCACTTCCTGAGTGATCCAATTGTCCTTGTTATTTAGAACTTAATTCTGTACCCAGTATAAGGATGGATATGGCTGGTTAAGCCAGAAGAGGGATTTCCGTTACGGACAGGATCACCAAAGTCTCAAATACCAATTATTACACTAATCTCTATTAATGATATTTATTCTAAAATGCTCTGGGAAGTAAAGAAAATTGTCTAAAAATGCAACTGCTTTTATAGTAAATGTTACATTTATAAATAAACATTGATTAAAATGAGTGGCGTTTTGGTTTCGTGGCTCTTGGAAGGAATACAGCACAGGAAGATTTTAAATGTATTTATTTATCAAGTTTAGCAACTACCCACCTCCCTTGCAGTGCAAATAAATACATAAATAATAACCTTATTTTTTATTTTATTACTTTATTATTTTGTACAATGACATTACTTGATATGGCTGTTCTGAACTCGGCTTCCCCCAAAAAGCACGAGGCAGATTCCTGGTCCCGAACAAACCCCTTTTATTAAACGAGTGTGAATTCCTCTCCTTCACCTTCAGCCAAGGCCTGGCAAACAGTCTTTCAAAGGAATATTTATGACTACAGCCCT